TGAAGCGTAAACAAGGTTAAACATACAATAGTAAGTAGGCAAGTATTTCCCGCGGGTGAGCGCTGGAAGGTGTGCCGACTTCCAGGCTCCGTCGAGCCTTAAAACTAAGCAGACGCTGACTGGCATCTCCCGCGCGAGCACTTTCCTACTTCACGTAGCAATCGCGTCTGCAAAATGCAACAATGCATAAGAATTCAATCTTACATTTGTTTCGATATACTTACTTGGGTTCCGTCGACAATATGTGTTGTTTTCGCACGCTACAACCGAGTGGTGCATACATTTTAAAATATTTTATCAAAGTTACCTTTATGACACAAAACATTATTTCGCCACTGCACTAGCAGTTCTACTCCATCACTAGTAGCGTAGTACATAAATTGAGGCGACGCAACTTGCAAGATATTGTATGTTGATCTGATATACTTATTCAAAGTTCAGTTATTCATAGATTGAGCAGGAAGCGCGCGTAGCCTCAGGTGTTGTTTTCGACACTAAAGTTGCTCTAAGCCGCACTGAGCTGTACTTAATGTCCATGCAGGCTTGCGAGCTCACTTAATATTATCTCTGTTACCGAAGTTACAAAGCAATCATTATAGTTTGTTGTTATAACGAACCTTGTCGTTTCAGTGACGCAGGCTTACGTATGATTACAAAAGCTTAAAACAGTCTATCCCCTACTCCATTCCTGAAGAAGCACGTAGGGACCTAATATTCCGAATATAGAAAATCGCAAAAGCAAAATATCGTATGCAATATATTATTTCAAATAAACGGGGCCGTACTCCGTGAGGCTGAAGTTTGTTGAGTAGCATTAAAAGATTAAAAGTCGACAGTTCGCTCAAGCTGTATCGAATCGAAACTGGAAACGATCTCTCGACTCGACTGTAACATATATTTGCGATGCAGGCGGCGCGTCCGTGGCGAACTTCGCCTGGCGAATGCAAAAATTTAAATTAAAAACATAAATCAGCCGTGTATCGAGTAACTTTCGAGATTGGTGTATATTTCGAATGCACGTTTCACTACACGTATTATGATTTTAACTTTGTTGATTTTAATTAAAATACATCCATTAAATAGCATAACGACATTCGCAAGAGCCCGTGACAAATGTAGCCAATGAGCTGAGAGTTAACAAGGAAAAATGGTACGCAAATAATTACTAATGTAAAAATCTCTACTGAGTATTTTCGAATTAATTGCTTTGAAATTATTATGAGTATCATAATCTCATAATCTTAATTAAGAGAACTTTAGCCAGCTCAAATTAGAAATTTTAATCTTTTGTAAATCCTTCTCCCGTAAGCGGGTGGTGTTTATGAAGTCGGATTTTTTGAGCGTTTGGCGTTAAATGTATTTTTATTTAATTAGAAGTCGTTATGAAGTATTTTATTTCGTTCTTTTATGCTTTTAGTTATTATTGTTATTGATGAAGGCAAATTTTAAATAATGCTACTAGAGTCAGAAAATAGATTATTTTATGGCGTAGTTAGTTTAAGCAATTGAAAATAAATAATATTTAAACGCTGACAACTAAAATACTTGGAGCAGTAAAATTTTCTAAATAGCACCAAACAATATAATCGTATTGAAACAACAGACCTGTCAGACAAAGTTTACGGTGCAAAGCACCTCACCCGGTACAGTCGGAGACGACAGTGCATCTTTTAAAATACCAATATTTTATTTTATTATAATGGAAACGAGCATTTTTTCAATTTCTTTTACCTCGTATACTTATCTCTTTTTCTACAACGAAATAGTTTGAAATAAATTTATTTAATTTAGTAATATTTTAGGTTTTCGTGTTAGCACTTTTGTTGGTAATAGTACATAGCTAAGGTACTTAAACACAAACAATAGCGGGTGTCAAACATCGCACCACGTCAAGGAAAAACCGTTTTGTATCAAAAGAATAACGCTTTTCCGCTCCATTGGCTCACTCATTTCATTTCCATTGATTCGTTTGAGGAAAACACGAGAAAAGAAAGATAAAAATTGAACGCTATACAAAACAATAGATTTAACGAAAATTGTTTTAAATTTGAAATAATATGAAGCTTAAAGAAAATATTATTATTGGACTGTAGACTTTTCCTTTTGATTCTTAGATTCTTATATCGTATTAACTCGAAACTACTTATCCGGTGACAATCTACATATGATAGAAGAGAAGCATAGCAATGAAAATCGGACTCACTAGGTAATTCATTTGACTAAATTAAAAGTCTACGAACTCTGAGACATCCTAAGGGTCTAGGAGTATCGCTTAACAGCAAAAACTAATATTTGTTATTACGACGATAAGCTTATCATATGTCGCAAGAATGTACCTTCTTTCTACTTTCCGCTCGCGATAGTTTACTATACTTACTTAATTGTAAAGTTTAATCCGGGTGAGAATTTCTGAACGAGAGAATTAACTAGGGAGTTTTATTTTCAAATATATTAACAGAACAAATTAAGGTTTTATCAGTTTGCACGTAATTTTACATCGAAACTAAATGTGCAGTATCAATAAACACGCCCCATTATTGAAATCTGTTCTTCTTACAGTGTTGCAATTTGCAAATATAAGAAACTCGAACCTGTTTACATTTTACAATCAAAGTAAGAAAATAATAAAATTATCAATTACATTGTTGTGATCACTGTAATTTTGCTTAATACTACCTACAAACTTATCGATGTAGACAGAGTAACTGACCACGTCATTTTCAAAGTATCAGTCGATTTTATCACTACAGATAAAACATGGATGCATTTCCGTCTGCTGCGGGCAAGGCTGGCGTGTAAGGTGTAGCGGGTTCGATTCCCGCACGTAAAATTTCACTACACGACTGGCGTGTAACGTGTCGCGGGTTCGATTCCCGCACGGAACAACTCTTTGTATGATCCACTAATTGTTGTTTCAGGTGTATATTACTTATATAAAAGTTCTTATAAATAAATATAACAAAATCTAAAACAATATTCTTTCGTAAAATAATAAAAAATACTAAACTAAGGTCGACAAACTAAGTAAAATGACTGAAGTTATAACAAGTAGGGTTGTTAATTATGTGAACAGTGCAGACTTAATTAGAGTGGTCTGATTGCAGCCGTCAGTGCCGTCAGCTGGGAGGAATGGTGGACCTACGACGGGATCTCAGGTGAGCGCCATTTATTCTACAGACCGAACATCAACCTACCCCAATTTGTCTAATATATTCATATGATTTTCAACTTTATTACAAAAGAGATAACGATGATAATGGATGCAATTGATTGGATTAGGTTGATATGCCGTGTCTACAGCTGTCATTGTTAAACTGTATTACGTTATTTTATATTTATGATTCGAGTTTGCACTATTTGTATGCGGGATTGGGAATGCTTGCTGCGTTTTTAGAACTAGTAATTTATTTGCTGTTTTATGCCTTTCTTTCTTTTTTAATAGCTTTTGTTTGCATGTATTGAACAATGTTATCTTTTAATAAATGTTAAATGCAACCCCAACTGAACATCAGACCTCTAGGGCTCCGTATGTGGTGGTCTATTAGATCTTTGAGGCGCGCGCGGAACGCTATGTGCCGTTCGCTCGGGTCTGGTTCTGATCGGGCGGCGAGCTACCCTTAATCGCCGGCTGTAGACCGGCTTGGAGAGAGATTGGGGGAGGGCAACAAGGATTGGGTCTCCGGTAGCCTCACTCACACGGCGAAACTCAACGTCATTGTTGTTTATACCGGTTATCTATGAGGCCGTGGTATCTGCCTAGTCGAATTGATCATAACATGGCTTTTCTACACGTGTTTTATATTTAGCAACAGAGTAAATACAAAAGTAGTTTAATTAAGAAAAATATCTGCACCAACTAGCCTTTCTGACTTTAATTTTGGTATAACCCATTACACTTATTTTATTACATAGTATCATTACACAAACGATCCGTTGTTTGTGATAAAACATATTACGCGTTCCCGATTGTGTAATTTATCTTATTTCATTATTATTTTTGGTTTTAAATACATATTATTTTAAATGAATACACACTGGTATCAATCCGTGCAATATATTACTAAGTATTTGTTTTTATTGATATTACAAGCTCCGAGTTGTAACACGCATAAAATATAATAACACTTATAATGCAAAATTGATTATAATACAAGGCACCTTAAGTAAAATCTCAGCATTCTATGATTCAGCTGGGGTTGCGGGGTAAGCGCAATGAGGCCTCGGCCCAGAGCAGGAGAAGGAATAGGGGATTTTTTTGTCAGTAAGAGTCTGACAATACCTCCCGCCCTTCTTGCCCAAAAAATGCCTTTTTTATTAAACACACTCCCAATAACTATTAACCAATTACAATAAACAACAGTACCTACATACTATTAATTAGAATAAGTAAAATTTATTGCGGAAAATATGGAAAAAGAAAACAAAAAATCGTAAAACGTACCTAACTGACAATCCTCGAGAAATCAAGTCGATGTGCTCGGAAAATAAATTAGACGGTCATAAAACGCACGGAAGTTATCAGAGAAATATCAGTTCCCGAACATACGATAAAACACCTCACAATTTTGTGAATGACGTAATATGAATACGAGATAAATCGCCCGTATAAATTTCGTGTCACGTAAACCAGCAAAAATGTTATCGCCAGAGAAATTGATACGACGTACCGTATTGAACAAATGTTTTGCGGTAGGTCAATGAATTGAGATTTTCTACTCTGTGGACGTGTTCACATGTCGCGTATGGAGTTTCAGTAGTTAGGTAAGGCTTTTTAGGATATAATAGAGCTAAGTAAGTGATAATTATATCACTATTGATTCAGGTTTATTGGAATATATATTACTAGAAACATATTGTCACATCGTAAACTTTGCGATTAAGGATAGGTACAGTAATTAATGCCTTTTTTTTTAATAGGAAGATTACACCAATTGTTTTCTCTCGTCCTGAGTAGGTCTAGAGGGAGTGTTAGACTCTTACTACCTAACTAAACAACCAACATGCTCCTTCTCCTGCTGCAGGCAGGTGCCGAGATACATTATTGCGTTTGACCCTTAACCCTGGGTCGTATCTATTGCAGGAGAATAAACTCACTCTGAATCTAACATAAACTGCCTAAAAAGGGGATAGGTTGAATTGTGAACAAATAAGTTATGGAAAAACTTGGAAATGGGCACACATTTATGTATTTAGGTAGTAGAAATAGATGTAGCCCTACGTTATTTAACCTCTAAATATACAAGAGAACACCACAGATGAGGCCCAACAGGCCAATAATCAGCCGAGGCTGCATGGCAAGCGCAATAACCCATTTTACACGCACTCTCACCCTAACACTGGGCGAGAGAAGAATTTGATGATTTTCCCTACTAAAAAAAAAGCGATCCTATTGTACCGACATCTACCGAAAAAACGCAGCAACAATCACGATCAAGCTCCTACATCGCGCAAGTGATGGTTGTTGAAAATCCCAACGTACAACTGTTAGGCAGTATCCTGCCAGACCCAACACCCGTCTGGTCGGAGGATCCTCACTTTTCAATGGAGGATGAGAAACTTTCCATCCTGTTCTCTCACCTCTAAACTGGCGACATCTATTGCACAACACGCAGCAACACTATACTTAGAATTGCTCTTATAATCCACATCATTCGTTTACTAATCAATGTATGTACCGATTACCAATACCAATGAATACTGTATAAAGATGTACAGTGGTGTCACGCAACTCCAGCTCCCTAACTTCGGACAGGTCTGACCAGAGCTGATACATTTTTAATGTACGAACTCCACCGCGACTTGATTAGTTCGTCTAAAATCGAAGCGTATGAAGAGAAAAAAAATTTGAATTATATTGCCACTTTCTAGAAGGTGCATAATACTAGTGCCATGATAACCGGGGAAAGGGTGTCTACGTTCAATGTTCGTTGACTTGACGAAATTAAAGACAGACTGTTAGACCCGGTATATTTTCGAATATTAAAGTTCAAAAATATAATTTCTTTGTACAAACAAACACCTACTCATAGCAATATTTTAATAACCGCAGAAAACAATGTGAGAAATTCATACATTTTGTTCACATTACATCATCAACCTACAAATGCCCACTGCTGAACAAAGACCTCTTCTGACACGGAGAAGGTTTGAGTATTAATCGCTATGCTTGCTCAAGGCGGTTGGGCGATTTCAAACTTATAATCAGAAATTATAAGTTCATTTTTCCTCATGATGATTTACTTCAGTATGTGTGTCAGTGGCGTGTCATCATAGAAAGTACGTACAACAATTGACACTTGCCAGGTTTTGAACCCGGACATGAAAAGCAGACGCATTTACCTCCGACCCACCACGACGTCGAATTTAGTTCAATTCTCTCTAAATTCCAAATATGAATGAATATTCCACACAGAATGTACATTTGCTACGCCCAATAGTTTCATAGCGATAAAATTTTGCGACGTTAGTCAAATAAATTTAGTATTACCATTTGAAAGCTATGTTCTATCGTAAATTCATTATTGATCGTATCTATTAGAACTGCATGTAGGTACAAATAAACGTAAATTATGACGAAGTTGTTTTGTCTATGTTTGTGAAATCATACTGGAGCTATTTGTTCGAAAATAAAACTGAAATCAACGAAACAGATATTAAAAAAACAAGTTCTCAAGTTTCATCTGAGCAACGAGGTTTTGCATTATTGAAAAAGCAAACATTATTTAATTGACGGGTAGACTAATAAAACACGGGCAAAATAAGAGTAATACTAATACCACAATATAAAATAGGTAGTATGGAAACTGGAGATATTAAAAACACTACACTCATACATACACACAAATGTTGTAACAGGTGACAACCCTATGACACTAGTGCAGAGCAGAGATTATAGGAATTATAATGATATTTTAAACTGAGGCATTATTCGTTTGTTATTTAAAACGCCCTTATCTCCAAAACTACTGGTTCGATATTAAACAATGCTTAGTGTATTAAATAGTTCATTTATCGATGACGTCTGTAAGCTGAAACACATCACGCTACAAGGGTCACAAGGGCTAAGGGCAGCTGTAAAACCGCTTGGGAACGGCTAGTTGAAAAAAAAGTCTTTTCTTAGTTCCCATACTATTCGATTTAATGTATTGTGCTTATGAGTAACTATCATATGTCTTCTAGTACAGAATACAAAACCGTTCCCGCGAAGTATATTTGTGACATTGTACGCCAGACAGTGCCAAAAACAATAAAAAAATGCATGCATTAACGGAAAGTTCACTTAACGCGTGGCCATAAAGTGGGCGTGACCGCAAGCGCGGCGCCGGCTTACTCATGCAATTTTCAAGGTCATAAATAATAAAACCCTGAATACGATCCAAAGCACTTTGGCTACTTTCACGCCACACCCCGCCAATATTGAAATACCTTGGGAAAATAAATGTTTGCGCTTTTTCCGAACGTTAATCCGCATAATATAGAAGTAGGTTCACTTGCTCCATAAAATTATTAATCAGTACTACTAGCTGTTAATTCGCTGTTGATTACTATTAATCTGTTGTCATTTGCAGTGACACCATTTTGTTTTTATTTGCTCATCAATAATGTGGCACTAATTTTCAATTCAATATTTGAAATATGTTGTTAATCACGCTCTACGAGTATGAGTAGTCATTAACTTGACACATATGGAAATATAAAAAAGAGCTAGAATACAATTTTTAGTCCTCAATATAAATAAAATGTGAGACGTATAGGCCGGTTGAAACCTGATTGATACTACGCCCTCACAGAAAACCGGCGTGAAACAACGCTTACGTTGTGTTTCGCCACCTTGCACTCGTAACTCCTTTGGTGTTATGGGCGCCCATTGCCGCGGCAGCGCCGATTACTTGCCACCAGGGTGATCCGCCACGTTTTTCGTCTCATTACACTAAATATTGAAGAGATCATGAAGATGTTTTTCTTAGTGCTTTATCTTCTTGATTTTATTACAGAAAACATAATATTGATATTAATACATACTTAGTTTTACTCTATAAAGCTAACGTAACTATCCAAAAACTAAACGAAATTTTGATAGTTTACCACGAAATTATTAAATTAATCGTACCTAACTATATTTCTCTTAAGGGAGCTAACAATATTCTCCGATTTCCCGTACCGGGTCGAGCGCAGGTGGACAAGCAGCTTAAAGCTAAAGTGAGGCTAGAGCCTCGGCTTACAGGCGATACTGTTTCGAACAAAGATCCGAACAAGCCGTTGATTATTTAGGAACATGCTAAAAGCCGGCCGATACTGAGAACGGAAAGGGACACTTTACTTTCCCGTAATACATTTATAGTCTATTAACGCTTCGCTCGCGACTTTGGGAGTTTTCGTAGGGTTTGGTTCCGTTCTGGTTGGTGGTGAAATAAAAATGAGACGTTATTCGGTACGTGGATAAAGTGTGGATGTAAATTTTTTTTATACTTACTTCTTTTGAAAAAAAAAATTTTATTCAGTGAAAAACATTTAACTTCGTTAAAAAAATTGTTGAAATTACACACAACTTAATATGAAAAGCAATAATTGTCCGGATTTTCTGTAAATATAAGTTTTATTATAGTTTATATTATATACAAATACATACTTAAAACAAAACAAAAATACAAGAACTATATATTATAATACTTAATAAAAATCAACTCCAATTAAACAATTAAATGAGAACAATAAGATTGAATGAACACAATTTTATGCATGAGAAAATTGAAATGATTTTTGTAACGCATATGATGTTCGTGAACTGAACTGAACATGTGAACATTTACAATAAGGCCTTTTTCATTGCGATAATTAACACGGCAACTGTATCATCTGATACCAGCTGACATTCATACGACATACTGATATTATTTCATATAATAATATGATATATGGGAATGGGAATGCCAAAAAACCACAGATTACTGTCATGTTAAATTTGTTTGTTATTCCATTTTTAAAATGTGTTAAAGATTTTTTGTAATTGACTGTTTTTGGTTTAACGGTTAGGTACTAACGTGGTTAGTGAATGGGTGTTGCGGCTTCGCTTGTTATGGTAATTAGTTTAATGTTGTTGAGATAATGGCTTAGGCATGAATAGGTCAGCTCAAACGGAGTAATATCCCGGCCTCACAGAAAAACTGGCGTGAAATAACCACAGTTTTGTGTTTCGTGTGAGTGAGGTTACCGAAGGATCAATACTTGATCTTCAGCATCCGACGTTGCCTTTTAGTCCCTATCTCACCTGATGGTAGGTGTGTCGGAGCACACCTACCCATATATGCAACTTGTGAACTCGGACCTCAAAGACACCCAGAATTTCACTCCTTAGCGTTCTCGTGATGAGGACACAGTGGAGCATACAGTGGCGATGCTGCTTGGACTGAGCACTGCCGTGTCCTCGGGGAAGTGATCAGTGGCGGTAACTTCTCACGCCCGGCCTTAGGGCTATAGTGCCGAGCGGCCAGAACCAGACCCGGGCGTTCAGCGTATAAGGTTCCACGTACGCCTCAAAGAGCCATTAGACCACCACAGACGGAGCCCTATAGGTCTATTGTTTAATCTAGGTTGCGGAGTAAACGCAACGTGGCAGCGCGGCCTCGGCCTAGATCAGGAGAAGGAACGGGAGATTTTTAGTCAGTAAGATTCTGACACTTCCTCTCGCCTTCCCTGGGCAGGAGATGTCACTTGATGATTTTCACCTGACAAAAAAAAAGGCCTTAAAGACACCCAGATTATCCCCTCGGGAACACACATATGATAAAACTCGAATCGCTTCGAGTGTGTGTGGGAAAAACATAAAGCGATGACGTTTTGGCGATTTTCTGGTGGCATGATGGTGGAAAGGACAAAGAAGAATCAAGTTGTGAATGCATACAACTGCAACAGCTGCTCCTAATAAGTACTGATTTATTAATACTCATTTGTAACAGTCACACTTCATAAAATAACTGAAGAAAGAGAAAACTGTTCATCTGGCAAAGTTTAAATTGTAATCCAATTGAACAGAAATCCATTTCATAATCCTTAATCTCGAAAGCATAAACAGATTAAGAAACCAATAGGAAGAACTCAATTTATGTTAAACTCTTTTTTCCTTTCGTCGAACAAATTCAATCCAATCGAATCTCTGCTAGTTTCAAGTTGTTCCGAGTCAACGTTTATTGAAGTCGGTCTTGATTCTATTGCTTTAAGCTGCGTGCTGACTACACTCTCCTGTGTAATGGACCTGAGACTTCGAACGTTGTGTACATGGAGTGATAAGACGATAGAAGTCTTTCAATAGTCTCATAAAATCACAAATATCATGCCTGTTAATGGTGTATCTTTTTTAATAATATTATTTTGTCACGTCGTGGTGGACCGAAGGTTAAGGTTTCTCGTATATAAAAAAACCTAGCATGTACCAATATGATTTTTTACAAGTATTATGTACTTTCAATGATTATTGAGATACCACAGACCTACGGCGAAGGAAAACATCGTGAGGAAACCTAATTATTAATTAGGATTAATTATTAGGAATTATGATTATAAGCGTGAAATTGCTGCCTTGAGCAAGAGTGGTGATTAATTCTGAATTTGTCTCCGTATGAGACGAGGCTTTTGCTCAGCAGTGGGCACTCATAGGCTGATGATGTGATGTGATTTTGTGTAATTTTTCGTTTATGGAATTTGTAGTTAGTTGTATTTATATGCATGTAGGTATGCTTTCGATTTTTTTTCTGTTCAATTATTGGAATAACGCGCCTAGTTATTTGCTTTTCCTAATATATAAAGACCCTTTAAACAACATTATTTTAATATGTTACTTAAACTATCTGTTATTTAGGTCCAGCGTTCTGGGGGCTGATCAACCCAGAATGGTCGCTCTGCAACAAAGGTCGGCGCCAATCCCCGGTCAACCTGGAACCAGACAAACTACTGTTCGACCCGAACCTACGGTTTTTACACATAGATAAACATAGAGTAAGTATACACGTGAAACAAAAGATTTTCTCGAGACTTGGCTGGAACACTACCATGCTCCCTTATTTATTTAACGTTTTGGCTTTCATAATTAAATATTATGTTAATTCAGTCTAAGGTATTGACTTCAGTACCCTTCTAATTAACTTATGTTAGTTAATATTTTTGTTATACTTACTTCCTTGACACGCAGTCTAGTTCAGTCAATCTTAATCACAGTAAAAATTTTGGGAGTCAAATATAATATTCTTTAAACAAAATAAAAATAACTGGAAAGTTCTATCGTCCTGACCTGTCTTATCTTCTTCATAAAATCAAATACGTAATAAAATATGTCATATCTTTTAAAACTAAATTGTTTTGTTTTAGATAAACGGCTTAATAAGCAACACAGGCCACTCGGTGATCTTTACAGTGGAGAACGAGACCCGGCATCACATCAACATAACTGGTGGGCCTCTCTCCTACAAGTACCAGTTCCATGAAATCCACATCCACTATGGCCTACACGATCAGTTTGGATCAGAACATGCCATCAATGGGTATACCTTTCCAGCTGAGGTGAGATTTTATTATCATTTTAAGCAAATAAAAAATGGTGTCAATAGAATCATCTTAGTTAGTAAAACTTATGAATGTATTTAGATTTTGTGTAAGATTTTTACATATTTCACAAAAAAACATAAATTCATTCTAAAAAGAAAATTTCGCGGAGGACACGGTTGGTTTTCTAAGCGGTCATTTACACTGGATATTATACTTTTGTGTCTATTGATCGGAAACGAAGAATTTCTAAGCCATAATGTATCTTTCAATGCCGATTTTTTGTCTCCAATTAATGTCCGTATTACCTTCGTTCAGGCATCTTCTATGGTCACTGCGACAACTAAACACGCGAGATAGCAATACCGGGTCTCCCCTTCGTTTTAAAATAGTCGTTACCTTTACAGCACTAGAAATTGTTGACGTAAGTGAAATAAACCTAGTCAAAACTATGCTAAAGATTGTGTATAAATAATTTTCTTGACATAGTATACATATAGTGGCGTTGTCAAAGATTTATATCATCGTAAAGTCAGAGATTCGCAACATTCGTGTTACATTATGTAAGCAACCAAGGATAAAACCTAAGTGAAGCGTCGAATAAACATGTAACGTAGATAAACGTTAAAATGTTATCAGGGATTTCTTTGGAAAGGTCTCGAAAGAAAGCGTAACAGATGTTTTCACACGCATCCTTACGCCTCTCGTTGAGACGTTCAAATCCCAAATGTAATCCCAGCGAACGACTTCACTGCGAACCAACTCAACCATGCCTCCTGTTTATTTATGTGACAAATTCTGACGCAGTCATGTTAAATCCAAATCTTGTGTTCGTCGGTGGCTTTTAACTCAAATAAATATTATTGATGTGATGTTTATACTTCAGGGCTTACAACAAGGAAAAAACAAAAGAATCGTAATCCAAATTAGCTTGGTAATAATCTTCTCTTAAGTACCTCTCAATTTCAAAGCTTGAGTTATTATTATAATTGAATGCGAAGATATTTAAAGAAATAACTATGTTTAATAAATGTAGATGACATTTTAAATGAAATCTTTTTGTAAAGCCAATGCAGTAAAAAGAAAATCTTAATATATAATTTAATTTGTTCCAGATTCAAATATTCGGTTTTAATTCACAACTGTATTCAAACTTCTCCGAGGCTCTACACAAAGCTCAAGGAATTGTTTCAATATCCCTATTGTTACAGGTAATTACATTTATTAAGTAATTCTAAATGTTGAATACACTCGCCAAGTATTGTATTCTTGTAATTTCAAAGTTCAAGTAAGTCACGGAATGTTTAAATGTCGGTGGTAAAAAGTGGCCCTCTGTGGCAAGTACTTAAGAAACATTTTTTTTTGTAAATATCAGAAAATGGGCGTAGAAAATAATTACGTTACTACTTTTTTAAATAATTACAGAAATTGGTTACTAATATCAATATATTTTCGCTGATATTATATCTGTGAGTTATGATGTTTTAGTATGTATTAAAGATGTTTTTGGCAACGTTTGCTAAAATTTAAAGGGAATGTAGGAAAATACATTCATCAATATTTTTGTGAAGCAGTTGATAAGATTTAGTTATTGTTATTTACCTCCTTTATGATGTGAGAAAGTCCACATAGTTGCAAAGTGTGAAGTTTTTTCTTCCTAATATTGATGACACATTAGGTGCCATATAGACGATATGTATGTTGATGATTTAAGACATTCCAAGATTGGCTTTATATCCAATATTTTAACCCTTAAATTTTAGCAAGCGTTGCCAAAAACATCTTTAATACTTAAACATCATAACTCACAGATATAATATCAGCGAAAATTGTTTCCTAACAACACGTAATGTAGGTGTTTATTCAGGTACTTAGCCGTAATTGTTCGTATCGAAGTGTTACCGGCCGCACCTCATAGCGAACTGAGCGCAGTTAATTAAGGAAATTGGATTTTTCTGCGAGCCACTGGATTAGCCAGTAAAGCTATTAGTTCAAATTAAGTAACTGTCTGGGTTGGCCGGGCCGTCAGCGGTCACCACGAGGCCAACCAACAAACACCCTGTGTTTCCAATTAATTGCCGACATTTAATATTATCTACTTCATCAATATTAGTTTCTAGGTGACGGTTTAGTGTGGGTCCTAAATTTGTTTAGAGATAATTTTCTTTGGAATTGATTGTCTTTCAAAGCTAGTAAATCTGATGCAACAGTAGACAATTTGAAAATGTAATATTTATAAACTAATTTAATACAAAAATTTGATCTCTAAATTAAAAAAAATAGGCGATGCTACTTAGAATGAACAGTCCACACTTCATAAAAACAGATAAAGATTGTCTGTACGGGATACAAGCAAAATCACGTCACCATCATTAAAGACAACTTAAAGACAAAAATTTACACACCACTCCAATCTGCTCCACCAACAACCAACTTTTGTCCTAAGAAAACAAATGTTTGTCTGATTTCCTTACACCGTCATCTTTCGAAGAGGTTATTTTCGATCGTTTTATGGTGTTCCTTAATGAAGGCCAGCGTCTGTGTTAGCACATCCTATCCGATGTTGTCCCAAGGGGGAATGTGTTTACTGACACGTTCATATTTCGCTTGTGGTCGCCGTTAACAGAAACTTTGCTAAAGCAAGCTATTTCCCACACGACAAACAATTAGCTGTGTCTCGGGCTTGTCTTTTTATTTTCAATTCTCTGGTAATAGCCGGTAAGTTGTCAGGTTCTGTTTTAGGTAGAAGTGAAGTTTTGGTAAAATTAAATTGATTATAAATATTTAATATTTTTAAATACGGGTAACATGTAGAAATATTTATAAGTTAAAGTATAAAGAAATATGTATACTAAATAACTACAGTGGAACATTGGTATGATAGACGTATAGTATTTAAGTACCGTGAAAATTTTTGACGTCCTTAATTTTAATTTTCTTTATATTGCACTTCGCGCATACCCACTACGTGCAGTGTAATACCCATACCATTCTAAATTTGTAATCAATGCATCTTGTTGCAGCTCGGAGATTTATCAAATCCAGAACTTAGAGTATTAACAGAAGAATTAGAAAATATCAAATACGGAGGTGAGTTTATACTTACTTTTTTTTTATTTACGATTTTTTTTTTTATTTCTTCATTAACCTCTTATGTGCCGGTATATGAGACACAATTGAAAACACATTGTGTCTCGCGTATATCCGCGCTCCGGGATACTACGGGTTAATCGTTTATTCATATTATCAAATAATGACTAACACGATAAAAAATCTAGAATTAGTGTTTCGAAATAACCGAATTTAATTAGTACTAACCCTGTACTATGTGAGGTCGTGGTGGCCCGCAGGTTAAGGCGAGTACCGAACTGGAAGGTACCAATGTGACTTTTGCCGAGTTATAAGTACTTTCTATAATTATATAGACACCACTGACATACGATGAAGGAAAACATCGAGAGTAAGCCTGGAGTTATCGTTTCTAATTATAATTTTGAAATTCAATCCGTCGAATTCGATTCGATTCTCTATCCTTCTCCGTGTTAGAAAAAGCCATTTATCAGTAGTAGGCCCTTATAGGCTGATGATGACGTACTATGTAGACGAAAAAAAAACTATGTAAACAAAATATAAGTGCTTTTTACAATTTCCATAGTCTTTATTTTTGTATAGTTCAAGTGTACATAATTTAATTGATATATGTATATGTATAAAGGTGCAGAGATGCCAGTGAATAAGCTGTCGGTCCGTGGCTTGCTACCTGATACGGACTATTACATGACATACGACGGCTCGACCACGGCCCCCGCCTGCTACGAGACCGTCACCTGGATCATTGTCAACAAACCTATCTACATCACTAAACAACAGGTATAATAACTAAGTCTATTCCTTAATTAAGTATTACTAGAAAAATAAAAACTAAGTGTGGGAGACCCAAGCTTCGGCACGAATGGGTCGCCTCGTTTCACGACATAATACATTAAGAAAAAACTTAGAAAATATTAATATCTATCTCTTATTCGTTTGTGTTTGCTTTTAAGTTAATTCATTCTTGAATTGTGTTATTTTTTTGTCTTTGTGTAATAATGTAATAATTCATAAACTTATTCAGTTTGATAAAATAATGACATTCATGTTTATTTGAATCTGAAATGTATCATACAATAAAATAATTAAAATTATTTAATTTAAATGTAATAATTTGTGTAATGTACAATGCCTTAGCCTGGAGGAGAAGAAGGAACGCGGTAGTTTTTAGTCAATAAGATGATCCTCCCTCTTGATTGACCAAGAAAATATAGTAAGAAAAATAATTTGATAATATGTTAACTACAAACACTTAACTTGATCACTTACCATTTTATAGTCGTCACAATATCTATCAAGAGGTTTAAATTGTCAATCGTCACAGACAGATAAAAGCTCGAAATTGCTCAACAAAGCTGACCACAGTTCACTGTCATCGTCAGTGAGCCTGTAGTTACAATCAATATGTGAGTAAACTGTATCCGATGAAGTTATCTTTTATTGTGATAAGTATTCTATCGTCTTTATTAGAGTAGGTACAGATGAACAGTTATTGAAAGAGATCACGAAACATGACGATAATCACCTTTGTGATGTTGTTTACATTTAATACATACTTAGGTACGTTGAGAAATTGTTTACACAAAGAAATCTTGATAGCTAGACGACACTGAACGAATGCCATGTCTTACAGCCAACTCAGTACATATTTCACGGATTGTTAATTCGCTAACTGCAGCGCGAGTTGTCCGGCGGGTGCGGCCGCATCCAGTCGAAGACATGTATCAGTGTATTCAAGCGTGGGGCAGCGTAATAACATTTTCATTTGTGCCCACGCTACAATAAACAACTCACGTCCCTCGCCTTTAGACAAAGACTCCGCGGTGAATTATGTACGTGTTAAAAGTAAACTGAAAGTGCCGCGTTGTGCGGCTGTTATTATAAATCATTGTTTATGTTTTCCGTTTGTGTTGGTCGGAAAATTAAGTGCTAGTGGAAACTGCTTGCAATCTCGCGGGGAGTTGAGCGAACGCCATGTGGTCGCTGCTTGAAGTGCAATTTACAATCCCACTAACGTGCTTAGTTTTATGCTAATAAAATCCCCACACCTTTATGGTCTCGGGTGCCATAAAAACCGAAATAAAACTAATAATACATGTGAGTTTTACTGAGAAAATAAGCTCTTGAGGGTGTTCATAATAGAAGTCATGCACCTATTTGCCAAATAGCCCATAAAAGGAATCTACAAAACACCATTATGGTTTATATGTGCATTTCGAATATTTTTTTCTTATCTTAGCTTCAATACTCAGTACTTACCTATGTATAATAAGTAATTAACACTCATCAATACTATACGATAGATCTATGTATTTAACGAACTAATTAATTTGAAATACCAACAAAGTTCACACAAATCTAACCACAGCCAAACGTAACCTTCACATTACAAACGAAATTACAGTTGGTAAAATCAAAGTTTAGGCGGAGTCTATAATCAGAATCAAATTGTTTAATACAGCGTAAACAACGATGCGAATCAGATAGCCGTGGTCGCGTGTTTCGAGCCAGTTAATCCGACCGTGGCAACACACCTATATGTACTCCAGTAGTCACCCAACGTTGTAAAAGGAAGAAATTTCAATTTACTTGAAATAGCTCTCAACCTAAACACTTATGTTATACACCAACAAAACACATGCATTGCATTTTCGAAATTGCAAGTCTTGCACCTTCGTTAACGCTATTTTCTTTGTTCATGTTTATCTAATAATAATATTTAGTAAACTGGTATATCATTAAATGCCATTTTAGGTTTAGATAGTAATTATGTCCAACAAAAAATCTTTTATAAATAAGGATTCGCTCTACATGAACTAGAATAAAAGTAACAGTAGAAAATGTTCCTCACAAAACATAAACCAAATGTGCAAGAGTAACGAACCGTTCTCTCGGCATTATATTTGGGGAAAGCTTCATAAATTCCAAAACAGGGTTAGTCATTTTACTTTCAAGAACTTTAGTGTCAACATAATTGAATTTCATGACTATAGTTACACGGCTTGAGGCGGCTGATGCAAGGCGACGCCAGGCACCCAAAGGCTCCCCTCGGCAACAACTTCAGGCCGCCCCAGCCTCTGCACCACCGAGCCGTAAGGACCAACATTGACTTCGATCTCAGCAAGGTAAATTACACCTTATACAAAATTAAATTAAGCACAGAATTCTCTGGAGACCCGTTTAATAATTCATATTGTATGCTAAGCTGGGTACCTTAGCGATATACTTAGTCGTTGCATTGTGTATGTCTCTGTAAAATGGTTAGCTTGTTGTTATCATGTAGTATTAATGATGTGTTTACATAATTTTAAAACATTTGTATTATTTGCAGTACCCTGGGAAAACTTGTCCAAGCATGCATAGAGATATGCATTATAAAGGTAAACATCATATTCATTACTTGGCTTTCAAATAAACGCCACTGCTATCTAATAACAACAAATTAGTTTCTCGAAAAGGCTTTCCCTTTGAATTAAAAAATAAGTTGAAAGTCTCAATTCAAGTGCAAGTGAAAAAAAACCTTACTTTCATCACCAAAAAACAGCAATAATAAGCTCTAATCGAAAAAAGATAATACAGTCTACATTCCATTGAAGCCTAAAGCCATTACACGTAGGCATAAGTTATCTCTACAATCAACGAGCAACTGGTGTTAGTAACAGTAACCTATGTAGCGATAACGATAATACCATAGTTATCGCGATTGCAAATTACGTAATTGGCGCAGTTACATTTCGTGTTCAAATATTAGGGTTGTTGTCACACATATAGCGGATGACAAAATCGCTTAAGCTTCTAACTTCATGATTTTCGGTGAATAAAAATATCAACTACTAACCATTATCCTTGACTTCACTTCCGTCACTTGACTACCTACGCTACCCTGCCTGCTCTACCATATCCGATACATATATGTTCTTCTTTCGTTTTTATATGTTTGTTTATAAAAACAGACTAATATTTAATAATAATTTGCTCAATTCAATACATATTACATAACCTTTAATGTCGTCTTGGTCACTAAATTTCAAAAAACGGCCGGCATAGGTATATTGAATAGCTTTAATGAAATGTACAGTTTTAGTAAGTAAGCAGTTTTAATTGACACCTAAATAGTAAACATTTATAGTATACTCCACTAAAACACAAATAAGGACCACTATAACACTAATTTCTCTACTCCCGTATAGACTATATATGTAGATTAAATCTCCTCAACGCTCCCCTCTCCCCGCTATTACTCCCACCCCACCCGCCACACGTTATCAAGGTTTTCATTTTCTGTTGCAGCCAAAAGCTGGACACAATATTGAAGCTAATTCCACTCCGGTAGGCATTCAAAGCAGCTACGTAGATATATACATATATTAGTATGTAAGTTTGTATATAACTCCTGTACAGTCTAAATCCTGCTTATGATGAATGGAGCTAAATATTTTAAGTGTAATATATTCAATTATCTTAATCTAGCGCAATGTTAGACGTAGTTTAATGTAATGAGTGAGTACTGTTGGTAAAAGGTTACCTATAATATTTTATTACGGCCTCTGACTAAGTAGATTATTTATAGATATTTTCGGATAGATTGTTCGAATCATACCATCGGATTTGTTGTAGTCAAATGTATACTAAAAGTAGGAAAATTTATCTTTAGCTGTACTTAATTATTAATTAGGTATGTCGAATTTACTTAAAATTTTGTTATCAAAATTTCAAAATAACATATCATTTGATCAGTCCAAAGAAAATGTTTATGAATTATTTTACCTTTCAATGTTACATATCTTCTCATGATGTTGTTATTTTAATAATAATGTTTGTATCATTGTTTAGAAGTTTATAGTTGAATAGCATTAAAATCAATTATCGAATGAATTTAGCTACCTACATAATCATATCAAATTATATTTACTAATTAAGGTCTCATTTGACGGTACTAGGTACTTTAATGTAATAATATCTATCGCTGTAAGACGTCTATAGCTTTAATAAACTATATTCTAGTGTTTATATTGCATTGCGTAATATAAGATAAAAACTATTCCATGGTTATGAAATGTATATCGCCTGGCTTTCTTGTAAGATCTATTAGGAATATTATTTGATTAAACGATATTAACTTAAACACCATTTTATTTATTTAAACAATCCTTACAAGTAATTTGGTTTACATTGAAGCTTTTATTATAGGCTCATTAAAATTACAGGGGCAGAACACGTAATCTGTTTGAGCCTCTGCAATTTTTCGCGGTCGATTTTAAATCGGCAAATACGCATTCCCATATATCCTGATACCATATGCAATCCCAATAAGCTACCGGCCGATAAAAGGCTTGCTGTGCACAATAGTGGTAAATGCATTACACTTTCGTAGATATAAGCTGATTTTATTTGTAAAGTTTTTACAAGGCTATCAGGTAAGTATCACCGTTCCGTCCATTTATTTAACTTACTGATAATAACACAGCTACTTGCCATTTTATTAAGAATTTATTTCCATGTTGCTGTGGAACTATTGAATTTGCAAAATGAAAAATACAATCGAATGTCATAAGTACGCGTACCTGAAGTAAGCAATATCAGTTTTGAAACATAAGCAAAAGGTATGCTCAATGCAATGGAGTAGAACCGTCTGTTTTAGTGTCCTCCAGTCTTGTGTTTGAATAAAAAGCTCATTTGAATTCTATGAGAATCGAAATTGCTCTCCTTTTCGCTGTAGTAACTTAATTTAATCGAGTTCCATCACAATGTCTTTTACCTTTAGATTAGGTACTCGCTATAATGCTGATAAAAGTGGAAAATAAAATTTATAATACTTTCCCTTTTGTTATCTTCAGACGTTCTTTTTCCCAAGTTGGTAGTCACGTATATTTTATTGTACAAGAGTCAAATATAAATTATTTTTCCATGCGATAACGTGGAGATTAAGATTGTAAAATAAATTACTTGATTTTCCGGATAGAGGTTGAGTTTATTGGAAAAGTTGCCGTCGGCGGGTGTTGATAGACTCTCAGATGGAGTTCATTAAAATTTTATAATTACCGAGTTTAATGGAGGTGTTTTAATACTAATTAATGGAATTATGGATGCACTTAAATATCTTGTATCAATTAATTGTTTATATTAAGCGTAATATCTCATTACTTTATCGTCAAAAATGGGATGTATTTATAAATAGTATCCAAAGAACGGTTTCCTCTGGAGACAAACATTAAATAAAGTATTTCGTTTGTTTTCCGTTTTCGTCACAAACATGGCGTATTTATTTCTCTTCTAAGTACACGTACGAGCGTCGAGCCTATTCTCGCGTGCGGCAACCATCTGTCGCTTACTTGTTTACACAGTTTTCGGGGGCACATTCCTTACTGTCATATGTTTGGTATACTTGTACCTAAATAGAAAAATATTAGGACATTTTATCAAGTGAACAAATAACCCAATTCTCAAAATATTTGATAAGACTACTTTTATAACATATAAAGTAACGTTATTAAAGATTATTTAATAGATCTATTACTGAATGAGGCTAGTGATAATAAAAGAATGTGCCCTATTTGTTCGTATAAATCACAAGAAGGTATTGTTTACATAGTTCGCTAAAGAGTCGTCGAGAGGCCCGAGTTGAGAGGTTGCTTCAACACGAGTGTGAGCTCAAATGTGCTCGAAACTCAAGTTTATTTGCTCTTTATTGAGCGTGTGACAAGATTTGACGCCGCGGCTCGAGCTCGAGCTTTATGTTACAAATCGACTAACATACGTACAAATATCTTATTTGAACGAAAATTGATTTTATTGTTAAAGTGTTACGTGACATAATGTATTTTTAGAGAACTTAAGTTAAGTAAAAGACGGACTTTTTTACAAAATCGGGATAATAATCGTAAGCATTTTGTTAATATCTGCTTAAACCGGCACAGAAAACCGGCGTGAAACAACCACAACGTTGTACGTCGCGTGTGAGTGAGGTTACTTCTCTCCTTCAATCCCCTAAATCTCTAAATCCCTAATTCCCAAAAGGTCGGCAACGCACTCGTAACTCCTACATTGTTGTGGGTGTCCATGAGCAGTGCTTGTTACCATGAGGTAATCTGCCTGCTTCCTAAAAGAAACCATCATTACTCAAAACTAATGACAGTACGGTCGGTGCAGAAACAAAGCTGCTGCAGCGTCACGGGTTATATACCGTAAGGAACTAGTTCTTGTATGCCACAATAAATTATTGAATCAGATCCAGGTCAGATCTCAATGTCACTTCTTTATTTATCAACAACGTATCCACGAAATTGTAGAAAATGATGCGGAGGGTAACATTTTTGTAAGAAAACATTCAAAACAGTTAAATATCTGCAGAAATCTCCGTCTCAACCCTACAAGCAAGAGACAAGCCGCTCAAAAAGTTATCTTTCGGAACGCAGAGGAAGTTGCGGAGTGTAATGCTGAGCTCTGTTAGTTTAAAAGTTGCATTACAATAGTGGCATACACATCGTTGAAGCCAATTCGAGTTTTATGCAAATGTGTGTTTTGTGCCGTGCCAACGAGAGTCGAGCCTCGACCGCGCCTGTTGTTGGCAAAAACACAGATTTCCGTATTGTAGCTCATTTTGTGTATTGGTGTTTCGACGTTTATGGTAATGGGGTATTGTTATTAGATGTATCGCATCTATTTCATTTTGGTTTAAGCAAATAGCTGTACGGGCTATAAGTACGGTTGTACGTATAGCCTGTTCAGATGCAGCAAGTAAAAAACTCAACAATAACTTGAGTCATGAATAAAACACCGAAACTATTCAAAACACCTTTTATTTTCTCGCAGTCACTTGCCAAACTTCACCAAAAAAGTAGTAACAGAACTATAAATATTATTATGGCATATCCATAATATATTTCCTACATAACACACGGTATAACATCATTGAATATTAAGATTTATTTGTCCCAGTTATCCTAACCCAAAATGTGTTATTTCTGTCCTACGAGAATTTGTTCCCAAAGATATTTTGTACTTTTTGGATATCATCTGTCTATGGATGGATGGTATGGATTTGTTATGCAATGATAAGAAAAAAACATTTCTTATTTCTTTCTTCAGTGGTAAGTAAAATTGGCATACTTAAGTATACCTATAATATGCTCAAAATAAAAATAAAATAATTAAGTTAATTGAATGAATTTTCGAAACGATACCTGACTGGATTTTTCTCGTGATTATGTCTAAAAATATACAAACTTGTATACACATCACACTCTAACACGGACATTTGTGCACCGCACAAATACATAATCATTCTGTGCAGGAATTAAATCTGCGATACGCTTCCCCAAAGCCAGTTGCCCAATTACTGCAACGGCCAGGAAGACAATGACAATAAAAATCGCAGTAACAATAAAAATCAAAGTGACGAAATATAATTTAATCAACAAACCGTCCGGCTGGCCGACTGCCATATATAAACTATCAGCGAACGAAAGTAAAAAAATCTGAAAATTTACTTAAAATGGCAAAAAGCCAAGAATGTTTTCTAAAAGTTATTTCAGAAAAAGAAATCCGCTTTCATATCGGGACTAACTCTTTATTTGTATGGGTGATCCCTCGCGGGTACAAGTTAAAAACAGCTTTCATCGGCCGCCGCGTTTGAATAAGTTCCGTTCAAGTTTTATTGAAGTTGTAACCTTCGGGCCGGTTTGATATATGTACTCTTTGCATCTGTACCGAACGGGTCCCGGCGTGCCAAAGTTAGTGCACTCGTAAATTATTCAGCCCCTCCGTATACATGTGCTTGTCGTAACCGAATGCTGTTCAACTCACAATGTCACATTGTATTTCTTATTTATAAATAAAAAAACTTTCGCTGTCTTTATAAGTTTTAAGTTATTTCTTCATTTACGAATGATACGATATCTGGTTGATAAATTGACTTACTTTTAGTACCAATTATATTATATTGTAAACTCTAACTATTCTATATGCCAAATAAGCAAAAAGCTATTAACAAAACTATGTTAATTGCGTTACTTCAACGCAACAAATGAAACTGTTTCGTCTACATAATGTTAAATCAAAAGGTGAGAGTTTAATCTCGGAAAGTTTAACTTTCCCGAGTTACATACATATTTATAGATAAAATATGATCTTTCTGAGATTATTTAGTCCCCAATGACATATGATGAAGGATATCGTAAGTAAATCTGGACGAATAACTTCATTTACTTACACTTTTATAAACAGAGGCATAATAAAAGTGTATAGGACGGACTCTCCAAGTCAACCGAACATGGTTGTGATAGTAAGACCAATTAAACATATTTTTTAAATATGTAAATATATTTTTTTACCATAATACATTATAATAATGATGTAAGGGACAAAGAATCAGTAGAAATTAAGTACCTTTTCTAAATATTCTTTAAGCGAACAGTTGTTGGCGATTTTTAGTATGTGCATTATAGAAACTTGAAAATCATTTCTCACAGTCTTTCTTCATTCTCAATAAAGTTTTAAGACTTTTGTACCAGATTTCATTAAACTCAGTTTTATGTGATAGCTGTACAAAAAATTAAATGAACGGACGGGTTAGCTGATGGTAAGCAATCTGCGTCGGACATGGACAACACCAGGGGAGGCCCGACTGCGTTAGGAGTTTGCCTGTTTGAGGATTGGGTCTCTACAAACCACTCACTAACACAGCGAAACACAATGCTGTAGCTGTTTCACGGTGGTTTTCTGTGAGGCCGTGGTATTATTCCAATAGAGCCGAACCAATTGTGCCGAAACTTGGCTCTCCCTCACTTTATACCCACACAGTTTGGTAATAGTTTACATCATTTTACGAAAATTCGATATTTATTATTCGTATACACACTCTTAAATAGAATAGATTTTTTTTCCACAATTTAATTTATTCACACGGAGTTTCTACTTAAAGAATGTATGGCAGGACGGGATTTACCGCTGATCAAATATTTCGAATATTTAAACCACCCAAAAACCTGAAAGCTAG